TGATTCCCCAATGCTGTTTCCTCCCCCAATTCCCCCCGCAAAAAAAAAAAGTCTCCTTCTCCCACCTTTCCCCAGCCACCCAATCCCTCTTCTGGGAGGCACCAATGCTACCAGTTTTGTTTAGGGTCACATGGATCTTCTTTTCATATCATTCTCTCTTCTCAGAGGTGTGGACTTCAGGCAAAAGGGTTCATTCAATAACTCCAGACACTGATTCTGCTTTTCCACAGGATTCTCTTCGGACAGCGCCCATACTGGTGGGTCCTGGACACCGACTACTACAACAACACCTCTGTGCCTCTGATAAAGCAGTTCCCAGTCACCTGTGAGACTGGACCAGGTGAGCGTCCTAAGCCCCTGTAGAGACAGAAGCTGGGTGGACTTTGCTCACTGTGGACACCCATTAACATTTGTTTTAGATGAAGCTGTTTTGGGAGGGACACAAGAGCTACTCCTTTGAGTTTTTTGTCATGGTCTTCAATTTGGTCCAATTCCGTTTTAATTCACTTCGGGAAGGCTTTCCTGAATAGCATATTACTGCTACTTTGGAAATCTACCTCATGCTTCCAGAACCTAAATGGCTAGTCCAGAGAGGCAAGGGCACCCTCTTAATGTTCATGCCAGTGATTGTGCTATGGCCCTTGGTCCAAGAAAGGGAAAGTGCTAGAGGCCTGAGCCCCCAGCTATCCTTCCCAGCGGCCTGGCCCGGCAGATGTGTCCTCCTGAGCTGACCGTCCAAGCCCAAACCCTATCTGTATTTTACTAGTTACACCCAGACAGGTACTGTTCAATCAAATCATAGATTCTGTTTTTCAGTAGGTAACCGGAATATCCGACCCCTTCACTCTCCCTTGGGTCTCGGTGCTGGCATCCTTTTCTCAGGAACCCTGTCCCTGACCCTCAACCGAAGGCATAGCCCATAGTTATTTGCTCTCGCAAACCCTTTGTTCACTTAGGACAATACTCATTAATTCAGGTGTGATTTATCGAGCACCTACTCTGTGCCAGACACTGTTCTAGCCAGTAAATTTCTGGAGGAAGAATTGTCTGGCCTGAAAGACTAACAATGCCAAGATGCTGAGGGTGGGGAGCATGTTGAAAGGAGAGCAAAGAAACCAGCATGGCTGAAGCAGAGAGAGCAAGGAGAGAGTGGAAGAGAAGTAATGGGGGCAGTTTGATTTGTAGTTATACATCCAGTACACTGATTCTTTGTGTAATCTCTAGGCTATATATAACTACAAGGCCTTCTCTAGTTTTGCTCACCACTGTACTCCCAGAGCCTAGTGCTGGGCAAGTAGCAGGAGCTCAATAGATATTTGTTAAATAGATGACTAAATGGATAAATGAATGGATGGATAGATGGATGAATAGGTGGCTGGATGGGAAGATGACACCCCCTAGCAGGCTCCCAGATAGAGACTTTTCACATTTAGTCTATTTATTAATCTTCCCTGCCCTTTAGGGAGTCCTTCCGGCCATGCCATGGGTACAGCAGGTGTATACTATGTGATGGTCACTTCCACCCTCTCTATCTTTCGGGGAAAGAAAAAGCCGACCTACAGATATCGGTAAGAACTCAGCGTCGGGGTGTGGGAGGTGGAGGGCAGGAGGTGGCTCTCCCCATAGCTGGCCCACCACTTGCTCTTCCCCACTTTCCCCCTAGCCCATCCCACTCTTTGGTTGACACTGATAAGAGTTGTGGCGTTTCTGCTGAGGGTGAGCACAGAATGTTAGGGCTGGGAGAGACCCAAGAGTGCAACCCCTAATTTTACAGATAAGGAAACAAGCCCTAACATGGTAAAGGGGTTTCTTGAGATCAAGTAATGAGGTAGTGGCTNCATTCATTCGCTTAAACTTACTTGTTAAAACCCCAAAGGTCCAAACTTTAAGGAAATGAATGAATGAATTAGTACATTCAAAGGTGATTATTTTCTGGCCCTGAACTATGGGGCCATATGGGAAGAAGGTTTGATCTCCCAAACCAGAGGCATTTCCTAGCTAATGCAGTTAAGAAAGGCCCAGCAAGGTGACAGTACCCAGTACAATAGAACTTACTATCTTCTAAATTAATCATTTAAACCTTGAATAGCTAGAGTACTAAGATTTTTCTTTGTCCCCAAATAAACGCACTTGCAGATTTAGGAAATCAGGCATCTTTCCAAGACTCAAGGTAAGCAATTTTAGACTCTGTCCCGTGTCTCTGGCTGGGTTTCGGAGCCAGGAGGGCAGCCCCTGGCACTGTCAAGCAGCATGCCAAAGTTAATAATTGGCCCTGCCGAGTACATGGCCGATCAGGCGGTTTTTGTGTGCCTGTTTTTCTATTTTACGTAAATCACCCTGAACATGTTTACATCAACCTACTGATGATGCACCTTTGATCAATAGATTTTAGACAAAAGTGGTTTTTTAGTCCAAAGATCAGGGCTGGGTTGAACTGCAGACTGGTTACATGGGGTATAAAATGGGCAAGGCGCAGGCTGATAGCAGAGCAATTACCACCAAGTCTGAAATAACAAGAGCTCAGCTGACGGCTTCCCGAAGGGCTAGGGAGTGAGGATGGAGGAAGGAATGAATGTTCTTCATGACTTTGGGATCCAGACAACACACTACCTCCAGGTGAATTACCAGGACTCCCAGGATTGGTTCATCTTGGTGTCCGTGATTGCAGATCTCAGGAATGCCTTCTATGTCCTTTTCCCCATCTGGTTCCATCTTCGAGAAGCTGTGGGCATCAAACTCCTTTGGGTAGCTGTGATTGGAGACTGGCTCAACCTCGTCTTTAAGTGGTGAGTACGAGCCAGACAGAGAGGAGATCGGCAAGAAAAGAAAGAGGCTGGCATTCTCTCTGGAAATGTCTGTTCATCAGAGATTACCTTCTCCATGCTATTGGGGAAGCAACAGGTTACTCCCCTTCTGACTTTGGATCAGCTACATAAAGAGAGAAGACAGAGAAAACCCTGTCAGTGAGTTGAAGCTATGGGAAAGGCTATTTCATGTGGATGGAAGTCCAGGTGGACTGAGTGAAAAGTCCAAATATAGCCCATAAGCAAAGAAACACAGTTTTATTACTTTGAAGCAGAATTAATAATATAGAGATAAATGTATGAAGGAAGAAAAATGATGTATGAAAAAAGGAAACACATAGATAATTTTAAAGCCTTTTGTGTGGGGTAATGAGAAGTAATGCAGAGAACTGGGGTCCAGCTCTTGTTCAGCCACTTACCAACTGTGTGTCCTGGGCAAGTCATAGAAACTCTCTGAGTTTCTGTTTTATAACCTATAGACTTAGGTTATCTCTGGGACCTTAAAAATAATTATAGTTAATATTTGTTGAACATTTAGTGTGTGCTAAGTGCTTTCCTGTGTGTACTTACTGTATTACAGATGAAGAGACTGCAATTAAGCCAACATGAGTAGTAAGTGTCAGAGAAAGGATTTGAGGTCATGCAGGCTGGCTTTGGGAGGCAAGGTTCTTTAAGAACTACGTTATATCCAGTACTGATAATTAGACTCTAGGCGGGGAGGGACCCTGATTTTACCATTTGCCAATTTCTGCTGTTATATATTCCCATTGTGGCCACTTTCAAGCTACCAATGGGTCCAGTTTGCAAAAATCCTGAATATATTACAATTGTCAGCCAGTACCAGCTGATGCTAGCACATTACTGGTTTGGCTTCTATTATCCTCATCTAGAAAATGAGGAGTTGGACTAGCTGCCCTCTAAGACCTTTTACCATCCCTACAACTATCTAGGTCTACTGTCAGGTGATTCTTAAGATCTCTTCCAGCTCTAATATTCTTTGGCCATAAACAATAAAAACCCTTTAGAAAAGGAAAAAAAATATTGGGCTCAGAAGCCCAAGGTATATTGATGGGATTCTGAAACTTCTATTGAAAAATCTACCAAGTTTTGTCTGTAATGTCCCTATTCAACAGCATGACCCTAAAATATAAAAAGATAAAGGGTTATTTCGAACATCTGACCTCAATTAAAGAATGATGAATTTTCTCTGAGTTGGTAGAGATTAGAGTGAGTGGCTGTCCCTGATTCTGGTGAGAAATCCTGATTCTACTACTGTAGAGAAACAGAGGCAGCCAGACAGACCTCTGACACCTGTTTCCACAATAAAAACATATCTAGTCCTTTTTAAAGGGGAAGTGGTTGCTCTTAGATATTTTGTTACCGAGCAGAGGGGTTACAGAGCAAGCACCTGAAGCTACTTATGTCCTTACAGAGAGTGATTCTGATGGCAACAGAGGCCATGTCTCCTAGGGGTCTTGTCTTTGGGGCTGGGGCTCATTCCCTGATCCCTGAGACCTGAAGAAAGAGAAAAGGAACCTGATAGAATATGCAAGTCCAAGCTGCAAACTATAGTCCCATATTCATCCTTTCAGGACAAGTTCTTCTTGGGGTTTAAAAAACGTCACAGAGCTGCCATGAATATGGATTTTAGGATTTCAGGTTTACATATTTATATTTGCATAAATAATATATTCAAACAGTTCAAAATTCAAAACTCATAGCAAGGATGTACCATAAAAAGGCTACTTGGGGCCGGCCGAGTGGCTCATTGGTTAAGAGTTGGCTTGGGAGTGCAAGCTCTGAGCAGCAGGGCCGCCAGTTCGGATCCCNCCACCACCCCGGCCCCATATGCTGAGCACAGATGAAACCCCAGCGGACTCAGCGACTCTGGCACCTGGCAGCCCTGTGGAAAACCAGACTGTGGCCTTTGAATATTTTGTCAGAGGATTTGCCCTATTTGCCCTTGACTCACCTCAGACCATAGAAACTCCAGTCCCCAGGGATCACCACAATAGTTACTCAATACTTTCAAAGAAGGCTTATCTGGATGGAGGGAAGGGACTATCTCTTCTGGTGGAGCCCACTATCTGTCACCTAGCAGTCTTGATGATACAGAACACACTCCCCTATGACACTGCTGGGTACATGCATGCGTCCTTTACAGACCACCCACAGCCAACACCACCATTACCTGCTTTCCAGGCTAGTCATGGTAAGACAGGATTGCTTGGACCAGGAGCGACAACGTGGTCAAGGGCAGCTGGAGTCTGCTTAAGATGGATTGGAGCTCCATGGGGTTTGGGATAAGACTCCAGATCATATCTCCTAGATGATGTTTTAATCATTTCCAGCATGGAAAGGAAAGTTGTCAACCTTTGCTACAGACTCATTACCTTTGAGTTTCTTTTCCCTGTTCCCAACCTACTGCTTACAAGGCAATATGGACTTACTGATGGGAAATGCAGGTGGGTTTTAATAAGTTTTATTCCCACTGGCTCTTATCCTTGAAAATGCATCAATTCATTACCTGATTCAGTCCCCTGCCTCCTTCAGAGTTCTAAGTGACCCAAGTGTGATATATATATATATATATATATATATATATATATATCCCACATATATATATATTTGCCTATATATATATGTATAT